ACATATTATGAGCTGAACTACCAGCTCATAATATGTCATAATATAATATGCCCACTATTGATAAACATACAGAAACGAGTATTAAAGTATTGGATACACCTAAAAAACAGCGACCAAAATTCCTACCACCACAAAGCCCTGCTGAGCCCAAAACAGAGCCCCCTGAGCCAGCTGGTCCTGAGGCTCACTGACCTGAGACACCGACACCAGCCAGCCTCAGGACAGCACTGCTAGAGCACCACAACTCAGTACAGATCAAACAGCAATATCTCACACTGGGACACACACACAAACACAACATAAACTGGAATGCTACAGAACCCTAAATAGACAATACACACTAGTTGAATATTTAACCAAGATAAGAAACAACAAAAAGAAACAGACCCTGAGGAAGTACAGGCTCAGTGACCACAGCCTGGCCATAGAAACTGGGCGACACAGGCAGACCTGGCTGCCCAAGAGGACAGGCTGTGCTCCCACTGCCCGCGGGGATGTCACAGCCTGAGGAACAGTGAGTCTGTCTCCCAATAATGCTCCATCTGTTTACAGTATACGTAAATACTTTACGATATGTCTTTGTTGTAAGTGTCTGTAATATGTCTGAGTTTATTTTACTTTTATTTTTGGTTTGTTTCATGTTAATTGTATTATTTTATTTGCTTTGGCAACACTGATTGTACCCATAATGCTAATAAAGCACCTTGAATTGAATTGAATTGAATATTACCAAGGGGGCTGTTTAGATGTTGCTCTTCAGCTGGAGGTGTCTGCAGGTTTTCAAGGTGTTTTTCACACATCAGCACGCAACACATGAGGCTGGTGAGCTGGGCCCAGTTCAGCCCAGGATGGAAATCTCTGAGAGCTGAGCTGGGGAGGCAGCCCGCAGGCGCAGGACCGGGGGGGTGTGGTCGGCCGGTGGACCAACCTGGGTCTCGTTCTTACTTCCCGGCGCGCTCACCCCATTTGTCTGAAATGCAAATGGCCAGATCAAAGAGGTGGGTTGCGCGTGTGTATGCGCTCCGGGGGGGTGATGCATGTGGCACGCTTTAGACGGTGTTGTATTTGTGTGTAAAGCAGGGTGGCAGGACGGGGCTGTTGTCCCAGACGGAAAGGTGCCAGAATCGCGCGTGCAGGCAGGGGGACGCGAGACGCCAGCGGGAGGGCGCGGCGCGACACACCTCGCGGTTTGGGCACCAAAACGACAAAGACAACACAACTGTTCCACACCCTCGGCACGGGGTGACCGCGAGCCGCCCGTGCCGACACGCCGCAGCCACACTTCCAGCCACAGCTCGAGGTACACGGTGTGAAATCCGCAGGGAAGCTCGTGGCAAGACATAACCGAGATGTACTCCTCAGTCTGGAACAGACTCTTAATACAAACACACCAGCAGAGACCCGGCAGGGCTCTAATTACTGGTATTAACTCATGCCCCACATAGCTATACTGAACCAAACACGAGTTGCTGGCCGTTCTCACGAGACTCTGCTCAGACATTATAGCTGTGTCATCTTACTGGCGAATTACCAGGTGAAGGGTAACACTTTCCTTTATTACGAATTTTTACGGATAGGCACTTTTGCTGGTCTTATAATGACCCCAGAATCAATTGCCAGTATTGTCAGTCTTGATTGTCAATTTAAAAATGAATCCCAAAAGATTCTACATTTTTTTTAAACCGACCAGTCGCAATTAGTAAAAGCAGTCATTTAAGTGTTATCGCAATGTTTTATAATTATGTTTATTACACCTACAAAACACTTTTCTAAAAGGTTTATGAAAACTTGGTGTGAAATACACCACTATATTCAATTATTAGTTTCACCAACTTGTGGCTGGAGAGGCCCGCATCCCGTGACTATGGTAACCGCTTTGTTAGACCCCTCGCGCCACCTCTGAGGGAATTCTCGCTTCCCACGGCCGCGCGCTCTTCGGGGAGCGGAGAGTCATAAAAAGGGCGCGAAGGTGTGAGAGACAGACACCCTCGGCTCAGGCAAACGCTTTGAAATTCCCTGCCGTTTATAACGAGGGGACAATTCTGACAGGTAAAACAAATTCTTAGAAACAAGGGGGGTGAAAACAAAAGGATGAGGTGCTGTAGGCGAAAGTTTCCCACGAGAAGGACTTACGCCTCGAGACCTGCTCCCACGACCACACGTCTTCTCCGAGGGAAACAAAAAAGTCACATAACAGGTAACTTAGGCTGGTTATCCCGTTTCTTTCCTCAGGGATGAATTTAATTTGATTTATTTTCATCTGTGTGCCTGTTAATGGGCAAACTAGTGTGTGGGGAGCTGCACAGACTGCTTGTACGTGCGTTGTCGCCTGAACGAGTCACTCTGTTTCCCTCCTTCAGGGGAGTGAGTGTTCAATACACGTACCAGAGCAAAAGTACAACTAACTGACCTGTGTCGATGAACACGCCACACGTATTTCACTTAACAGATCGGTTACCGACTCACCCCGTGTTGGATTCGGGGTTACAGGAGCGGTGCGAGGCGTGTAATTAAAGATTTTCACATTAACTCGTGAGTGTTAGGACCTATTCCACTACCGCTCCTCACCTCTCTCTTTCTCTTCCTCCTCACACCCCCTCGCCCTTATTCCCACGGGCGGCGAGCGTCTCTGATGTCCGCCACCCGCATCACAGCCGCGCAGGTGCAGAACTGCGGCCGCCGCCGCGAGGAGGGCGCGGGGGGGGCGGGGGGGAGGCGCGTGCACGAGAAGCTCGGAGGCGCGCTGGGTGAACTCGGCGCTTGGAAACGCCGGCGTTGCCGTGATTGAGAATAAAATCGTCTCACGTCTGTGAAAGACCTTACGCAACGAGATCTTTCTTTGAGGGTCTTTTTGCACCCATGGCACAGATATACGAATGGTGTTGTGGGAGTTTTAAACGAGCTACCAGCCATAGTTGTTACCCTGGGTGAGAGTAGAAACAGCTGGATGACACCCCTCTCTTCAAGACAGGAGTTAGCACTTTACACAAAGGGTAGTGGGAGGATGGAACAAGCCACTAAACCAAGTTGTTGAAGCTGATACCCTGGCTTCCTTCATGAAGCTTCTGCACATAATCCCAACAGGGGTAGACAGGCTTGGTGGCTGCCTGCTGTTTGTCACTGCACGTATGTTCTTCGGTTTCCTAACACTTCCACAGGAATCTCTGTCTCTACTGAAAGACCAGTGTCCTAGAGATACTTAGCCTAGGTTTTGATGAGGGATGCTTTGTATTGTTTTTTTTTTAATCATTCCCACAGTGCAGCACAGTAGTGAATTTCTATGTGAAGATACTGTCCATTAATAATGCACTTTATTGCAACAGCAGCATGGTACAGAGTCTTGCAACGCAGAAACATTCCATTGCACACTCATTCAATCAAGCACACTCTATCACTCCTCACAGCCCACTGCAACTCAGCAAGTTTTAGTTTTACCAGAATGTTTATTTGTTTATAACAAAAATATACACATACATGTCTGGGGAAGAAAAATGAACGTCCTTAAAAAAATAAATAAGGGTACAGGAGCAGGGGGGCAAAGTCACGCCTCCCTGTAAATTGTACAGAAGGATAAAGCACCAAGGTTCTCCAGTTCTCATTCCTACAGAGCTGCTCTACAGGATCCCTCAATATTCATTCCAAACTCAGCTCACTTATACTTAATGAGTTTATTACCAAGCCTAATAAGGGATTAATAAACTTGCCGTTTAAGACCCTAAACTTGGAAAAACAAGAATCAGAATGGGATGGCTTGATAATATTTACAATTTCCCCCTTCAAAAACAGAAGGTCTTTCTTGACATCTTTACAAACAACAGTCCTTCCTGCCCACCATGGATCCCACCGACTGAAACACTGGAACAGCAAATACCCATCATTTCTAACTGAATGCATAACATTTGAAAATAAAAGACGTCTAAAAGAAAAGTTCTCACAGAGAATAAAATACCATAGTTGCGTTTCGCTAGCCTACTGCTTGGCTACACAGAGCTCAAGAAACTGGGGCCAGGCTCAGAGCGCTCCAAACCTCCCCCCCTCCAATCACTGCAGAACCAGAACCACAGGAAAAGGAAAAACAGGATCTAGGTCTGATCTCTGGACAAACAGCTCTCGCTGCAGGTCAGAAGCGAATCGTATTCTGAATAGTGTTCTGCAGGAGGAACTCGAGAGGAGAGCAACACAAGAGAGAGCCGTCCAGGGCCCTGGCTCCAGGTGCCGCCTCTCCTCATGCGTCTCTGTGCAGGTCACGTCGGATCCAGCCTGCTGGTCTACGGCCAGGGTCTCCACACTGCGCTGCCCTGGCTGTTACGCGGGGCCGAGGGGCTCTGCGCCTCAGGGAGAGTCCGCCCAGGTGTCCGGGTGACTCTGGGTGAGCGCCTGCGACAGTTGGGGTCCTCGGATGCCAGTGGGGCTCTGTGGGGTGTCCGGCGAACAGACATGGCATGCAGCGTGGAGGTGGAGGGGCATCCGGCGCCCCCAAGCGCGGTGCAGGGTGACAGCCCGCAGGGGGAGTCCGGGCGTCGCTCGGAAGGGGAGACTGTCCTCACCCCGCCCTGTCTGGAGGGGGCGCTGGTCAGCTGTGTGGAGTCCGTCAGAGGGCCGGCGGCCCTGGCTCTCTCCATCAAGCACTGGCAGAATCGGTCGGCCAGCGCTCTCTGCTGTGCTCCCTCCTCCGCCTCTCTCCCGCTGGAGCGCAGGAAGCACACGGCTCGCTTCAGGCAGGCGGAGAACCCCTCCTGGTACTCCTGGTCCACCCCGCTCCTCTGCTGCAGGAACAGGACAGCATTCTCCAGGATTTCTGCCTTCTCCGCCCGCGGGTTAGCCAGACTCTGAGGGAGAGAGAGGCATTAATACAGTTACTATATGTCCATGGGACAGAGGCACTGGGCAGGGGTAGGCTGTGTCCTGGTTTGAACCCCACAGCTCGACTGCTGTGGAAAGTCTCCTAAGTGGCAGATGATTGCTGCAAGCGGTCATTGCAAGGAGCCAAGTTGCACAGCGCCCCAGAGCCAACCAGAGGATAGTGGCAGTGTTGGGGTAGTGCGGGAGAAGGGAGAAAGGCGGCGGAGCTCACCTGCACATGCGCCCCCTGCAGCAGCAGCTCTCTCAGGCTCTCCAGACTACGGTTCATCCGCTCGCGCCGCCGCCTCTCCATCAGCGGCTTGAGAAGCTACAGGGCAGAGAGGGGGCGGGGTTAGAAGGCAATCTTGCAGATGGAGACAATACACGTTCACCAGGAAAGAACAGCGCACCAGAAAAAGTAAAGTAACAAGATGATCAACAACGTCTTACAGCATATTAATGGATCAGCCAAGTAAAGTATGAAAATTAACGACACAGAAATTTAACCAACGTAAACGAACTTTGTAAGTGGAAGTAACAACGTCATTTTGTGCTTAATATTATATAATGAAACCTTCATGCTAAGAGCTTTAAAATGATAAAATGTGCGGCATCCATTCACCAAAGGTTACACATCTTGACAAGTCATCTGAGTTTCTGCAGCGAAATATACAGAGCGTTTTCTACCTGCGGGAGCACTGCGGCAGGGTGCGACCTGAGCGCGTTTAGCAACTCGGGTTAGGAATAGCTCAACAAGTAGCAAAACTGCTCACAAGTTGCAAAAGATGCGCAGAGCTAAGGTATTATTGTTCAGTGCGAACACACATCGAGTTCTATAGCAAATGAAATAAGGACAATCTGCTTTCAAGCGTACTCTTGTTTCATATATCTCAAAAGAACTGAAATAACCAATTGATAAACGCTTTTAAACTTTGGTTGAATACGCTATATGCTCAGTTCCTAAGTATAGCCCGCGTATAACTAAAATGAAAAGGGTGTAATGTATACGTGTGCTGTACATTAAAACCCCTACAGTATCTATAAGAGCGGTTTACCTTTCTGTTCGGCTTCTCGTCCTCCGGCTGTGTCGCTCCTAGCAGCTTCATCGCACTTCTGGTTCGGTTCTGACTGAGGCGATCCGGTGAGTCCGTGTGCGGAACAGCGGTAAACTGAGCGACTCTGATCGGGCTGTCGGTCAAGGTATGCCGGTGTCCACTTAGGGCTGCGAGATCGCTGCGTCTCTGTTACGAATAATACCTGCAGGCTGGGCGAGGGCAGCTTTTAAAAGTCGAAGCGGAAGGGGGGTTGAGTTTCCGCCCCCTCGCCCAGAAGGCCCCGCCCCCCTCGCCCTCTGCTTTTCCATTCAGTCCCGTTGAAAAAACGGGAGTGGTGCCGGGGCTCACAGAGCATGCCCGGAATAATGGGTGTACCTCAGAAAGTCTCACTAGGGGGGCAAAATAAGTGGGGGGAAGGGGGTGATTTTCTGTGGAGTAAAATAACGAGTTCATGATAACCTCCTTGCAAAGCCATTATCACGATACTAGACGGTAGTATAGTGTGAGTTTAATACTTTCTAAAGGTCGAACACCTATTTTAAAAGCCAGTCGAGAACATACCGGTATTGTTCCAATCTAACCAACACACAAAAGGTAACAGTGCTCAGTGATATTGAAGTTTCAAAATTAAAAGCACAGAAGGAATTGTTTTACACGCATCGTCAAAGCCTCTGCATCTCCGAAAACATATTAAATGAGAGAGTGAAAGATTAGTATTCTCGAGCTGTATACGGAGGCCTGTCTCTCTGTGTGCCGTGTTGTATATACCATTCGGACTCTCGGCTGTGGTGCGGGTTTACAACTTTTAAAAGACCTTCATTATTTTATTAGTTCAGGTGGGTAGCTGCGTCAGCATCTGTAGTCTGCAAAGGAACAAGTCATATTTTGTTCCATGCTGAAAAGAGATGCACTACCCACTTCTACGTGTTCATTATTTTATGTTTTGCTTTTCGACGCAATGATGAAAAGCAAATTCTCTGATACTGTACAACTTTCATCCAGGGCTACGAACATCCCCTTTTACTCGGGTCAACATTATGGCTGGGCAGCTTGTTCCACATTCCCGCAACCCTGTGTGTAAAACACTTGACTTCTGTTCTCCTGCTCTCGGCTTTAAAAACGCGCCTTCGAAAAGCGCGATCTGTGGCTCGAACGAATTGTAAATCCGTTTTACTCGCATTTCAGTTTTGCAACGCGCCAGTGCGTGCGATGCGCAGTAACATGGGTACAGTATACCCGTGTGCTTTTATTGGGAGTATTTCTTAGCCCACTCCAGGTGCTTGTATCGTTAGGTTTACGATACGAGTGATAATACAGCCTCACCCAATGATCATTGATCAAGTGTGGCTCAGCTGTGGGATTTATAAAGACTCAGTTACTGCTTGTGTGCAGGTGAAACCCCCCACACACACACACAACGCGAAACACGAGTCCGTTCGCAGCCCAGATTCCCTTTCCCACCGGCAATCGGAGGCCGATGGAGAGTTGAGAGGTGTCGATGTGGGGGGGGGATTCCAGTACACGCGCCTCGCCTGCAAAGCGAGAGATCCCCCCCTCTTCGGCGGCTTCAAAAGCTTTCAAGCGCGCCGACCGCTCCTCGCCGCAACCCGGCCATTCTGACAGGTCATAAAAGAAATGATGCCAATTACAATAGCCCGGGGTGACGAGCTGGGATTTCTCGGGAGAACTTTGGCCCAGAGCTGCTCCCACGCTCGCGCCTCTCCACCAGGATTTGGGGATTTTGGATGGAGTGAGGAAGAAGGAGGGGGGCATACTTTAATGACGATTTGAATACCACATCTGGAAGAGACTGCTGAAAAACAGACCAAATCTCAATAATTTAACCACTTTGATAACCCAAGCCATAGAAGAACAGGAGGCACTGCTTTATGCAAAGGATGGTGGGAGTGGGGAACAAGCCGTGCAGCTCTCTTTCAAAATCACAGCTGGATGAGATTCTGGGGTCTATTTGTGTCCATCTAGTTTATATCCTTTCCAGGGCTCTTATCCTGTTAAGATCTTCCCCAACCTGACCTCCAGTTTAACTCGCATATTTTATTAAGGAGGTTAGTGGGGAAGAACTTTAGAATCGGTTCAGGAATACAGAACCGTTGTAAAAAAAAGGGAAATTAAACCCGTCTTGATGGAATTAATACAACGCCACAGACTCGGGATTTGCGGCTTCCTCAGCGCGCTCGGAGCCGGTCTGCCCTATCCCGCGTTCCCCCGGGGGCCCCAACGCCCCGATCCCTTCGGACAGAGCAGCTCCTCTGCTGGTGCCACCCAGGACCTTCCGCGCGAAGGAAAGTGGGGTGTCGCGTGCGCGGAGCCCGGGGCTCATTGTGTCCACAAGCCACAAGCCCCGAAGTTCTGAAAATGCTCTCTGTGGAGTTCACGTGACCTTTGGCTGCTTTGAAAGCTCTATAAAACAAACAAAAAAAAAGATTTATTAGGATGTTTGGATGATCAGAATTTTCAGTTGAGAAAGACTCCCCCCCCCCAAAGAAAGTAAACTAAAGTAACCTATTTTAATTTAATTCGTACAATGTGGCGCACAGGGGTTAGTGGGTGGTTTGGGGTGGAGAGCGCTGACGTGATGAATATTAGTTTTCAAACGCTCTCCTTGTTTCCTGCTGCAAACCCCTTTCTGTCCCTTTTTAATTTCCTGCTTTCTCCTCGGTGCTTGTTATTCATGCAGGATTAATCCTCCCCGGGGGGCACGCCGTGCGGTAATTGCCGGAGCGGGCTCTCGGTGCGGGTTCTCGTCGAGCTCCGCCGAGCACTTCATTGCAATAAGAATGGGCCGGGCGCCGCGGGGGAGCGGGCTCTGGGATGCGCCGCTGCGGAGTGTTTGTTGGGGAGGCGGGGGGGTGTGTGTGTGTGTCGCGCGCCATTGCTTCAGCGCACCGCTGGCTGCGCGAGCTCAATGCATCACTTTGGCCAACATCTGGCCTCGTGGCCCCTCGTCCAGCCCCGGTGATTAGAAGCCGTGTCTCGCTCTGCTGCAGCGCAATTAAACCCTCCATTCATGTGTTAAAGGCGACGGGACGGGGTGGGGGAACAGGCTACTGTCATGCTCCCCAGTGCAGGCGAGTTGGAAACACACATATCGAATAGTATGCATTCTCCCACCACTGGAGGTGCCTGGTGCTCTAATAATAACAATAATAATGCCGCTACAAGAAGAAACATAATTTATTCAACATATAATTGCTTTCCACCTATATAGCAATTTTCTGGGCACTCCGCTCAAAGAACTTTACAGGTATTGAGGACTCCCCTCCAACCTACCAACAAGTACCCCCACCTGAATGATGCACCAGTAAAACTCACCACACATCAGCCATCAGTGGGGAGGAGAACCGAGTGGTGAAGCCAGTTCATAGATTGCTAGGAGGCTGTGCTTGGTAAAGGCCAGGGGGAACTTTGGCCAGGGCACCGGGGTTACACTCCAGGTCCAGTCCCTCTACAGCCCCCTCTGGCTCCCAGACCTGCTGTTCTGGACAGCTGGCTGCCGGGGTTGGAAGAGACGGAGCGCTGGAGTCCACAGCAACCCTGTTCCTGGAGGAACGCTGATGGATGGGCCTGCTGAGGTTTCTTAGTCCAGTCCCGACTGTCCAAAACAGGCGGCGTCCAGGCCGTGATCTCCAATGACCCAAACAGATCGTTACACAGTCTATCCTCAGCTTCCTGAGTGTTAATTCCGGTCCAGAGGCTCACTGCTAAATGATCAACTAATTAAGACAGGTCAGACTGATTTTATTTAAAGAAAATAAACTTTATTACCATTTTATTTTTACAAAAAATGCAATTCTAACATAACATTTCTACAAGTTTTAAAAAGGTGGAACTCACTCTCCTTGAGGCTATCAATTAAAAAAAAATCAGATATGATAAGATAACCGGATATGATAGACAGGTCAGGGGAAAGAGCAAACGCAGCTTGAGGAAGTGAGGAAGTGACCCCTGAAACAGTCAGGAGCATGATGACCTTTTCTCTAGATAAAAAACGAACTCTAACTCTAGTTAGAAAACAGGCAAGCGATACCTGGAGAGCTGTTTCAATCACAACATTAATTAAGGGCTTGTTTTCCACTGCCCTAACAAGGTTTTATCTACAACAATGTGGTCACCGTTACCTATAACTTCTGCTCTGGAGTCAGTCCAGGGGAGTACAATCAGATCCATTTTGGACTCTAGCTCCTTCATCTTTAATAGGTTTCTCCGTTAAGACAGGGGTTTCCAATCCATTATTTAGGAATTTCCTTCCAGCCTAGCTAAACTGAAGTGACTAGGTGCTTGATCAGAATATCTGAAAGTCCTCCTCAGTGGCATTTAATTCAAATAGATATCCCACATTAGTTAAGCGGCGACGTCCTCACGTTAAAAGAGAAAGCAGTCGAGCAGTTCAAAATCATAT